TATGCACTATTATTCACTGAGTTCGCTCATTCGGTATTTTGTCTGTCTATTTCTGTAGGTAATCAACTGGGAGTTCAGTCCTAACCTTTAAGGCTCGTCTTTGTCTGGTCAACTTTGATGCGTCCAGGCACCACATGAAGCTGTGCATTTTGTAAAGTGTTGTTAGGTTATTGATTTATGCTTTGGTTGTCTTTCATTAATATTTTCGTTACACGCCCAATTGTGGGTCTAAGTATGAATGTATCAGTGTGTAACCGAAGTTCGGGTCTATGTTTCTATATATTATGTACCTAATGCAATGTGTGCGGTCCTGGCATGGTAGTGGTAGCTCAATGGATGATGTTTTATGTTATTTTATATTGATAATGCTTCCGCTCAGGCCCCATAAGTTATGTATAACAGGTTAAGTGTCCGTTTCTTAATAGGTCATGCCCAAAACTTTTAGGGGCGGGTTTGGGGTGTGACAAGTGGTATCAGAGCACGAGTTGGCATCTCACACATGAATCCATTGAGCTTTAGGATGTCTAGCAAGACTTAGGCATCATGCATAATATTCTAAAAGTACATGAAAAGATTGATGGCAACGTTAAATGTATATGTTTTATCTGCTATTTCTGATGATTACGATCTATGTCTGTTGCATATTCTGTTATTGCCTCTGTTTATCTTATATAGATTTTGCAGATGGGAGTAAGGCAACAACGTTGTACTGCGGAGGTGTGGTAAGAATTTGAGATGATTGGTGAGACAGTTTGTATGTAAATACTTAGATAAAATATGTGTTATCGGTTGATAGTTATTTGTGGGAAATGATGGCAATATAATTGGGCTTTTTAGCATCTATTTGAGTGAATTGATTAAAGTTAAGAATGGGATATTTCTAAGATTAAAGGAAAGGTTATATGTGATACTCTACTTTTATACTATAGGTATGTCTTCCTTGCCATAACAATATTTAAATCTGCGATTTTGGAAAAAAAAAAAAAAAATTGCTGTGTTTGAATATTTTGATGTGATGTGTTTTGTGTGATAATTGAAATTGCGTTACGTAGGACTGGTTGTAAGAAGAAATTATGCATATAACGACCCCTTTTCAAATTATGAAAGGAATTAATTAATTGTGAATTTACTTCTTGCTAACGATTTAACTAGATAGGCTATGTTGGGGAATTGGTTTTGAACCTTGAACCGGTATGTAAGTAATATGATTTTGTGAACTAAGGAAATTACCGACGACTTCTGATAGAGCATTATGAATGGTGTCTACTGAGTACTGTTTATGTGTAATTGGAATTTGATTGCGAGAATCTGTATTTTGCACTGTACTCTGTATTCTGACCTCTGTAATCTAAAATCTGAAATCCGTAATCTATAATCTGTTCTGTTTATGTATAATCTGTAATTTGTAAGTGAGCTTTCGTACGAGTAATAGTCGAATGATATGAAGAATCCCGCTTATGATACGTGTCTGTCCACATGACACTTGCAAAACAATAGACAACCACTAACCAATTTGTCATTAAATCTAAATGATTGGTGACCTGACAAGTTACTGCAAGAATTAGAATCCTGTCTCTATGTATTAATAATTGAAGACTGAGAAATCATTTCGATGATATAATTCTGTGTCGATATTGTAAATTGTCAAACTAATCCCTATTTTGTATGTAAAGGCTATAATGTAAGCTGTTCTGCATGACATTGTGAATTTTGACAGGAACAAATGGTTATAGGGGGTAGTCCATGTTAATGATGGGTTAACGGGTATCTCCTTCTTCTTGCGTGTTTATGCAAATTTGTGTAAGCCGCACTATACAATTCTGAATTGATTTCATGTTATGTTGAACTGATCTTATTAAAAATTTTTAACTCTAATGTTAGTCAGTTAAATTTCTTTATTGTTGTACCGTTGAATTTCTAGATATTATGGAACCCAAGTGGATATGATTACTGTATACCTAATGACATTATAACCCTACGAATGAATTTGGTAGGAATAATGCACGCGAAGTAACTGGACACTCTGCCTGTGATAATTGACTGGACCGGATGACTGGTCTATAATTTCTGTACGGTTGTTTTCTAATCCACTGTAAGTATCCATTATGAATACAAACCATGTGGTTGATTTTGTACCCTACAGTAGGAAGAGAAAGAATTAACTGAATTGTGGAATACTGAGATGAGTAAAAAGAGGTCAAATTAATTTGTAATACTCGTTGAGAGAGGATGTGCATCTTACTGTTATGACTGATTAATTAAACATGATTTTAAATTCAATTTCTGCCCTTATCTTTGGATGGCTTCCTTGAAAAGATGGTTGCTATACTTGTTTCTATTGCTCGGATCCGAACTTATGATGGTATGATTAGGTCTTGGCACACCTGCATGAATTTGCAAAAGTATATGCTACTTGTTTTGGAGCCTGTTAGAAATCTAATTCGAACTGATAAGTCTACTTCTGATTACAGAGCAAAGAGCCACAAAGTCGCTGATTTAGGACTTGTTTGTTATTCTGGGTCTAATCGTTGAAAGATGTATGTGCCTTTGAAACATGATTAAGTAGGGAACGTTACCTCAACTTTGGAGGAATTATGATAGTTGGAGTTGTGTGTAAACCGAAAGAGTTTGAACTATGTTTGATGGCTTATGAGTCACATGTAATCGAATACTTGAAGTGAATCTGAGTTGTTATAGTATTTGGAAGGTATAACTTTCAGAGCAATAAATTGAAACATACCTGGGTTGTGAATAATGAGACGATGCTTTGATGTTATTAAGTACTATTATCAATTGGGTTACCAATTAATCAGTAAAGACGAATTACTTGTGATTTTGGGAGCAACCTCCATTGGAATTGACGTATAAGATGGGAATGACTAAATGATTGAGAAATGTTATATGTCCAAGACGGAACTAGACTTGTGACAAGGAGAATCAAGTTTGGAGGACCAAACTTCTTAAGGTGGGGAGAATGTAATGACCCCAAAATGCGTATAAGAAATCATCTTTATTTACCTATGAGAGGATGCGTTTTAATTTAATTATAGCTATTAGAATTGAAGCATTATCTATTGAGTTACGGACTTAAAATTTAAATTACTGACCTTTATGGGCTTAGAAATTAAAATTGAGTACTTGGGTATGTTAAAGGGAATTTTCAGAACTATTGGGGAAAATTAATTGGAAATCTAATTTGTCTGATTCGTTAATGCACGTTTGGGTGGTTAACTTTGTACTACAAATTGAAGACCCTAGAGACTTCAGAAACCAGAACAGGGGACATATTTATGATCGGCACAATTTTTAGAGTCACCTGGGAACTTTAATTGAAATATAATTTTGCGCGATTCGTAAGGCCATGTTTGGCTCTCCCTATTGTGCTAAGCCTTGTGTGTGTGTGTTTATTTAGATATATGATGAGGAACTCAACATTTTGAACCCAAAAATATCTTGAGAAAAGGGGGGAGACACGTGAGAAAGAGAAGGGAGAGAGTTTTGGAGAGAACTTAAAGAGAAGAAGGAAGAAAGAGTAGAAATGGAAGAAGACATCAAAGAATTGGCTTGAATACATCATGATTATGCAAGAACAAGTGATGATAAGGGCTTAAGGTAAGACTCTCCCTTTCAACACTTGAAGATCACAACCTAAATAATGAGTTCTTGGGTTATCTATAATTGTATGTAAGGGTTTGGTTTATTCAAGCAAGAAAATGATGGATCTTTATACATAGCTTGAATTTATGTTACAACTTAACTTCTTGTAAGGATTTTATGGCTCTTAAAGAGGCTAGAGAGGATTCACCATGGGAATGAGTTTTAAACCCCAAATCATGGTTACCTTATGCTTTTGTGTTTTAATTTGTAATCTTGTTCTTGTGATTGGGAATTGAGTTGTATTTTGGAGTTATGAATTGGAATGGAAGCTAAGAATGTGAAATTCATCTTATATTAAAGGGTTTTGGGCTTTGATTTACATGTAATAAAGGTTTGATTTTGGAGATGAGAAATCCCAATTTTTCAGCCATTTTCGGACTGCAAACTGTCCAGGCAGCACGTGCAGAGATAGCTCTGTCCAGCCAACTTTAAACAAGCATATCTTTTGCATCTGGACTCCGTTTTGAGTGATTCTTGAGCCTAAAATCAAGCCCCGAAAGTCTAGTTTCTAATGGAGGTGGTCTCATGCCTAAATTATAAATACAGAAATAGTTATTCCCAAATTAGTGACGACTGTTCACTTTCAGTCAACCAGTTTTGTACCATTTCTTTACCTAAACCATTTCCCATCGATTTCTCCTGTTTTCTAAGACATGAATTATAACTTATTAAAGAATAATGAGCTTGGTACCACCATTGCTAATTGATTGAATGATCAAAGAGAATAAGTAAAGGATCAAGTATAATCGCATATAATGTGTTGTGCAATGTACTTGTAGGTCGAGACGAGGACATCATCCCATTACTACCGGGAGCCGATCACTGTGAGTAATAGTACTACAAATGTACATGGTCTACCGTTAAGAAAATTGTTAACAACATTCTATTCTCCGTGAGCTAATATGTTAACATGTGTGTTGATTGGGAATTGATGTGAACATTGAAAGAGTTAGCACACATCGGTATGACTCTGAACCTACTCCGTATTTTGGGTTATGGCTAATGATCATTGTCAATGTACCATCCTAAGAATTACCTATGATTCTGTATAAGAATTGCATACAAACTATTAACACTGTGAAGTTGGTTAATAGAAAAGAATTGTGTATCAACGACATTGTTATGTAATTCATGTTATGATATGAATTGTTCTGGCCTGTTGATATAATGGTACATTTACCTTCGGATTATTGTTAATGTTAAGGTTCTGTTAATTACGAAAAAGTATGTCTACTTGCAAAGAACCATGAGGAAATCTAAGCGCAACATTGTACCATATGTTTTGTTTGCTATTGATAATTAATGTTACCATTCTGTTAACTGCTAGTTAGTGGCATTGAAACATGATGAGCAAATGGGATGTATATGCATTATGGAACTGTGGTATCTACGTATTTCTGAAAGCGTTGAAGCTGTAAAATATGTTTACCTTTTGCTAACAATTATCGGCAACGTTCTATTAAACTTATATTATCTATGTTTATTCATGTGATTAATGGGTAGAATGTGTATACTTTCTGTATGATTCTATAGTTAATCTGTTCTGATGTTTTCTGGTATGGAACAAAGTGCTGTACGGAACTAAGTGCTACACCTTGGTGGGATCCACCTCAAGAATCTGTACGTGCCACCTCTTGAGTCCATACATCTGATATTTCTGGGTCGATGGCCGTTCTGATATTTCTGGACCGATGGCCATTTTGATATTTCTGGGCCGATGGCCGTTCCGTTATTTCTGGGCCGATGGCCATTCTGATATTTCTGGGCCCATGGCCATTTTGATATTTCTGGACCCATGGTCGTTCTGCATCTGTAGGCCTATGGCTGTTCTGTATATGCTGGGCTTAAAGCCACTCTGTTGCGGAAACTAGACCCATGGTTGTTTTGGAAATAATTACGGAATGTAGTTAATCATATGTATCTGCAGTTATATGTTTTATTATTCAGGTTAAACATTACATTATTTATGTACTATTATTCACTGAGTTCGCTCATTCAATATTTTGTCTGTCTATTTTTGTAGGTAATCAACCGAGAGTTCAGTCCTAACCTTTAAGGCTCGTCTTTCTCTTGTCAACTTTGATGCGTCCAGGCACCACCTGAAGCCGTGCATTTTGTAAAGTGTTGTTAGGTTATTGATTTATGTTTTGGTTGTCTTTCATTAATATTTTCGTTACACGCCCAATTGTGGGTCTAAGTATGAATGTATAAGTGTGTAACCGAAGTTCGGGTCTATGTTTCTATATATTATGTACCTAATGCAATGTGTGCGGTCCTGGCATGGTAGTGGTAGCTCAATGGATGATGTTTTATGTTATTTTATATTGATAATGCTTCCGCTCAGGCCCCATAAGTTATGTATAACAGGTTAAGTGTCCGTTTCTGAATAGGTCATGCCCAAAACTATTAGGGGCGAGTTTGGGGTGTGACACGGCTGATGACTTTTTCTTTTCTGGCCTGCTTACTCCTCAAAACACATCGAACCCAGTTGGATCGATGGTCACTCCCGTAAACGTCATGCAAATACTAGTCCTCATATAGCGATCCCGGTATTCCCTGTTGTTGTATAACTATAATCTGGACTCAGTTTCGTAGATTCGTTGTTGTCTTATCCTCATTTCTATCCCTTACTCTTTGTTTTAGAGTTTTGGGTTGTGTTGGGCAAGTTGGGAATTAGTTGGTTGTGTTTTAAAGCTTTGAAAATTTTGCCCAGGTTTTGGTCTCTCCGCTCGAGCGGCGGTTTTACGCTCGAGCGGGCTTTTGTTGCTGCCTTTCCGCTCGAGCGGCAGTTTGGACGCTCGAGCGTGATTTTCCATCTCCCAGTACTTTACTCTGCAGTTAGTCCGCTCGAGCGGTAGTTTTTACGCTCGAGCGTGATCCTTTGATTTTTGTCCATACGCTCGAGCGGGGAGTTTTACGCTCGAGCGGAGAGTAGACTGCAAAACTTCTGGAAGTGTGCAATCAGCGCTCGAGCGGCTCTTTTCACGCTCGAGCGTGAGTCTGTGTCTTACGCTCGAGCGGGGTTTTCTACGCTCGAGCGGAGAGTCGACTACATCAGTCCGTGATTTCACTTCGTGTGTTTGAATACCATGAACTCCTGATCTCAATTATGTTTTCTTAGTAGGCTATATCATTTGATTTATTCTCTACTTCTATTATCTACGATTGGCTTATCCGTGTGTTTGTTTTTGGTTGAAGGCTTGGATGATTTGGGTTTATGAGTTTTTGTTTCTGCAAACATAGCAATATTGTTTCAAATTCTTTAAAATGAACTATAGAACCTTTAAGTCACATACCAATGTATTACATATACATGCATGAAATTTATGCACTTTGAGGTTTTACATCTTAATTAAAGGAGATTTCGTTCAAATCATTGAATGGATTGAGAAATCGACATTGAAACTTAATAATTCTATAGACTAATTCATGCATAAAATAATAATTTATTAAAGTAATTTATCACATCTTAATGAGACCCACATCATTACTTGATTTTATTCTTCATTGAAAATTTCATTTTGATGATTATACTTGCTTGATACTTTCTTCTTCTTCTATTTTTTTTTTTTTTTTTGTTATGTACCTCTAAACCGGTTAATGGTTTAGGGGAAGATGGGGGATGTACCTCTAAACCGGTTAATGGTTTAGGGGAAGATGGGGGATGTACCTCTAAACCGGTTAATGGTTTAGGGGAAGATGGGGGATGTACCTCTAAACCGGTTAATGGTTTAGGGGAAGATGGGGGATGTACCTCTAAACCGGTTAATGGTTTAGGGGAAGATGGGGGATGTACCTCTAAACCGGTTAATGGTTTAGGGGAAGATGGGGGATGTACCTCTAAACCGGTTAATGGTTTAGGGGAAGATGGGGGATGTACCTCTAAACCGGTTGTTGGAATGTTGATATAGCTCATATGCTTATCTATTGAAAAGTTTGTTTGATTTGATATAGCACTAAAATGTATATCATCATTGTTTGCGAAGTATGGGAGTAGTTTATGTGTTATTGATACAACACCATAATGTGTATCCACCTTGGATTTCGAAAGTGTTCTAGTGATGAACTATAATCTTTCAAGGCAAAGATCACAGAGTACTGAGCCTTGTTTTCAAACTCAAAGTTGAACAAAAATGAAAAGTGAATTGTAACATAGACTTGGCTGTCATGGAGACGTAGGGAGATGTAAATGGAAGTGTCAGTGTTGACCGTCTATCAGTTGCTAATCTTTTAGTCATTGTTCATGGTTGGTTTAGTGTATTTCTACTGGGCTGTGGCTCACCCTATATGGGAATATCATTTTCAGGTACAGGTAGCATGCCACCTCCAAGGACGTAGCTTGGGAGGCCAGAGGCGGACCTTTTTGTTGTTTTACTTGATGTATTACATGTAAATTCAAGCCAAGGGCTTAACGTGTTTGAGTTAGTGCTCTTTTGTTGTAACCAAGTGTTAACTTGGAAAGCTGTAAGCCCATAGGGCATTTGCTTTTGTTGTTAACATGTAATACTTTTTGTAATGAAACGCTGTTAAATGAAAGAATGTGGAGCTTTTGAATATCAATGCATGTCTTATTTAATGGGTTTAAAGCTATTATTTTGAGGGCGTTACACCTCAATACTCTCGGCATCTCCTTAGCTCACATCGACTTTGCACCTTATGGCCTCAACCCACCCCACACGCACCCTCGTGCAACTGAGGTCATCGTGGTTTTGGAAGGTACTCTCTACGTCGGCTTCGTGACCTTCAACACTGACAACCGTCTCTTCACAAAGGTCTTGTACCCAGGAGATGTTTTTGTGTTCCCACAGGGTCTCATTCACTTTCATTTTAATAATGGAAAGACTAATACAGTAGCTCTTGCTGCCCTAAGTAGCCAAAACCCCGGAACCATTACAATTGCTAATGCAGTATTCGGGTCGAATCCAATGATTTCTGATGATGTTCTTGCGAAGGCATTCCAAGTAGACAAGAAGGTGGTAGACCATCTTCAAGCTCAGTTCTGGTATCCCAACAACTAGAGAAATAAACAATAGAAAACCCATGAATCTATTTATTAAACTTTAAGCAAATATGACTTAATAGATAACATAAATAAGTGGGTTGGTTATGAATGATTTCCTTAAAATTGTTTTCCTATGATTTTATAATAATGAAGTTTGTTAAATAGTACTCTTTGTCTCTCTTCTCATATAATGATGACATTTTCATGATTTTTTTCTAGGCTTCCTATTGATAGAATGATTACACACTTGATCTTTCTTTAGGGTCTTATTTCAATAGCTAGGAGACGACAACAGATTGAAATTTCTCTGCTTTGAAATTTCTTTAGAAAAATTTGAGAGACCGCAACTACTATGAAAATATTTCGTGTTCTTTATACTATAAAATTTCTCTGGTTTGAAATTTCTCTAGTTTGTTAACAAATTTCTCTGTGTTCTGACCAATTTTGTTTGATTTGTTCACATTTTTCTCTGTATTTTGAACAAACCAGAAAAAATTACAGAGAAAATTGTGCTACTCACAAACCAATTTTTCAATAATTTTTACAAGAAAACACCATGCTAAGTTCATCAAAGAACGTAAAATACAAAATCTAATTACAATTTAAAAAACAACAAACACTACACATCCCAACAGATCAAAAATAAAATTCAAAGTCAGAAATCCAGTGAAAATTAAACAAGCAACACAAATTAGTGGGAGTTTAATGTGGGTAGGGAAAATTCAAATGCTAGAGAAAATTCGAGAGAAAATCAAAGAGACAACTAGCCAAAGAAAGTCAAGCAAGGCATAGAGAGAAAGAGAGTTCAATGTGTTTATAGAAAATTAATCTAAAGGGGATATCTTAGTGCTAGAGAAAATTCATCTCAAAAGGAAAATTACACACAAGGAAACAACTAGTTAATGAAAGTCAAACAAGTAACCTAAATTGGTGAGAGTTTAATATTTTCAGGGAAAATTCAAATACCAAAGAAAATTCAGTTCAAGGAACAACTAACTAGTGAAAATCAAACAAACAACACAAATTAGTGGAAACACTACTAGAAAAAGGAGTATATGACACGAAACGTTTTGTGATGGCTTATTTTGCCGTCGCAAAAAGTTGATTTTTGCGATGGCTAATATTCCGTTGCCAATAGTCACTTATTGCAATGGTAATTTCTGTCGCAAAAAGTAGGAAGCATATGTTCAATGGTTTTTGCGACAGTAAACCTATTGCCGTCACAAAAGGCTTATTTTTTACAAGGGAGCTTTTTTGATAAATCCACTTTCTAAGAGCTTTATTCCATCCAACCCATATTCTTTTTTACTATTCCATTAGGTCCTATTTGAGATAAGAAGACCAAAATACCCTTTTCATCTACTTATGTTCCATTTAGTTCACATTATTTTCTTATGTTTCAATAAGTCCTGTGGGTGATATAATTACCAAAATACCCCTAATGTGAATGTTCACACCGTCAATGGGAATGTTCATATCGTCAATGTGTAGGGGCCCGGCCCATGTCGATCCTCGTGGGTGCCCAAAAAAATTCGAGTCAGGTCGGAGCGGGTTCGGCCCGTTGACAATGTGAATATTCACATTGACATATTAACATTCACATAAATAGGAGTGTAAAATTGGCCCGCGTCCTGTGGCGGCGCGAAACCCGCCCACGGCCCATGGGCGGCCCGGGCCGGCCCGTTGACAATGTGAATATTCACATTGACATGTTAACATTCACATTGATAAGAGTACAAAATTGGCCTGAGGGCCATGGGCCACCAAAAGCTCGCCCGCGGCCCGGGACGGGCCCGGCCCGACCCGTTAATAATGTGAATATTCACATTGACATGTTAACATTCACATTGATAAGAGTGCAAAATTAGCACGCGCATCGTGGCTACCCGAAACCCGCCCACGACCCGTAGGCGGCCCGGGGCGGGCCCGACCTGGCCTGTTGACAATGTGAATATTTACATTGACATGTTAACATTCACATTGATAAGAGTATAAAATTGGCCAGCGGCCCAGGGCGGGCCCGACCCGGCCAGTTGACAATGTGAATATTCACATTAACATGTTAACATTCACATTGATAAGAGTGTAAAATTGGCCTGCAGCCTGCGAGCAGCCCGAAGCCTGACCGTAGCCTGAGGCAGGCTTGGCCCGACCCGTGACAATGCGAATATTCACATTGATATGTTAACATTAACATTGATAGGAGTGTAAAATTTGCCCATTGCCCAAAGCTTGCCCGCGGCCCGGGGTAGGCCCGGCCCGGCCCGGCCCGGCTCGTTGATAATGTGAATATTCACATTGACATGTTAACATGCACATTGATAGGAATGTAGAATTGGCCCGCGGCCCGTGGGCTGTCAGAAGCCCGCCGACGGCCCGGGGCAGGCTCGTTTGGGCCCGAACCCGGGCATGTCCGAGACCCTAGGCTACGGCCTAGGCCATCACTTTGAAACCTGGCCCGGCCCATCAGCCCGCTTAAGGCCCATTCAAGGATCGGTCCGTGGCCCAGCTCGCCCGAGGCGCAATGTCCTTTTTTAGTGGAAAATAATAAAATTTTGATAGAAAAAGTTAAAAAGAATTAAAAAAAAATAGCCAGGCCTGCCCAAGCCCGACCTATGCTCGAGGCTAGGCCCAGGCCCACTGGCCCGACCCGAGGCTCGATCCATCAGCCCGTCCAAAGCCCGAATGCCCTTGTGCTAGGGCTAGGGACTGGGCCTAATTTTTTGGCCCGTGGGCCGAGCTGGGCCAGATTTTTTCGGACACCCACGAGGCTCGATATGGGCCGGCCTGGGCCTCTACTCATTGATGATATGAACATTTACATTGACGATATGAACATTCACATTATGGGTATTTTGGTAATTATGTCTCCCATAGGACTTATTGAAACATAAGAAAATAATGTGGACTAAATAGAATATAAGTAGATGAAAATGATATTTTGGTCTTTTTACCTCAAATAGGATTTAATGGAATAGTCAAAAAGAACGTAGGCTGCCCGAGACCCTAGGCTAGGGCCTGGGCCATCACTTTGAAGCCTGGTCCGGCCCATCGGCCCATTTAAGGCTCGGTTCGAGGCCCGGCCCGCGCTGAGGCCCGGCCCGCGCTGAGGCCTAGTGTCTTTTTTTATGGAAAATAATAAAATTTTGATAGAAAAAATTAAAAACAATTAAAAAAAATTGCCAGGCCCGCCCAAGCCCGACCCAAGCCTGAGGTTAGGCCCAAGCCCATCGGCCCGACCCGAGGCTCGACCAAATGGCTCGGGCCCGGACCCAAACGAGCCTGTCCCAGGCCGTGGGCATGCTTCGGGCAGCCCACGGGCCGCGGGCCAATTCTACATTCCTATCAATGTGCATGTTAACATGTCAATGTGAATATTCACATTGTCAACGGGCCGGGCAGGGCCTACCCCGGGCCGCGGACAAGCTTCGGACAGCGGGCAAATTTTACAATCCTATCAGTGTTAATATTAACATGTCAATGTGAATATTCACAATGTCACGGGTCGGGCTGCATTCGAGCTTCGGGCCGCCCACTGGCTGCGGACCAATTTTACACTCTTATCAATGTGAATGTTAACATATCAATATAAATATTCACATTGTTAACGGGCCGGGTTGGGCCCGCCCTGGACCTCTGGCCAATTTTATACTCTTATCAATGTGAATGTTAACACGTCAATATAAATATTCACATTGTTAATAAGCTGGGCCGGGCCCGCCTTGGGCCGCGCATGGGCCGTGGGCAAGTTTCGGGCAGCCACGGGGCGCGGGCTAATTTTACACTCCTGTCAATGTGAATGTTAACATGTCAATGTGAATATTCACATTGTCAACGGGCCGGGCCGGGCCAGGCCCGCCTTGGGCCGCCCGTCCCGGGCCGCAGGTGGGCTTTTGGCCGCCCATGGGCCGCGGGCCAATTTTATACTCTTATCAATGTGAATGTTAATATGTCAATGTGAATATTCACATTATCAACGGGCCGGACCGGGGCCGCCCATAGGCCGTCGGCGGGTTTCACGCCGCCACGGGACACAGGCCAATTTTACACTTCTATTAATGTGAATGTTAACATGTCAATATGAATATTCACATTGTCAACGGGCCGGGGCCGCCCTGGCTCGCGGGCTGGTTTCGGGCCGTCCACGGGCCAATTTTACATTCCTACGAATGGGAATTTTAAAATATGAATGTTCACGTCATAAAATTGCTAACTGTTCAAAAAATATATATAAGTGTATCAAAATTAAATATAAGGGCATAAGTGTCCAAGAAAATAGTTAAATCAAGAAAAAGGACTTTATAGAATAAAATTATGCATACATGGAACTAAATAGGTTAAAAAATTCCTTCATGGACTTCTTGGGTTAAAACACTTCTAAATGGGATTTATCAATAAAAATCCCTGTCAAAAAGGCAAATATATACATGAGTATATGTTAGAGACTATTTTCATAACTTGAAGGATTATATGTAGATATTCTCTGAGTTTTATTTAAAATACAGATTATTCCTTATGGCTCTAAAAATTACAAATACTCTTTTATCAGAATTTGTCATTTAATAGAGTTGACAGAAAAAATAAAATTTCCAACTATCCTTCCATACAATAATAAAAATTTTAGAACTTTTAATCAATATATGATTAAAAGAATCATTAAGAAATCGTCTAATAATTTCCAATACAAAACTTATAATAATAATGTATTTCTAACTAGTCCTCTCTTCTATGGTTAGCGTATTTATAATTTACCCTATAATTTTTGAGTTAACATTTTTTCTTAGGTAAATTATAACTATAATTTTGGATAAATTATAAATATATGTTTTGAGGTTTGATTAAAATACAGATTGGCTCTTATAGTTTTGAAAATTATAAATAAACCATTGTCAGAATTTTTTATTTAACATAATTGTCATAAAAAGTAAAATTATTAACTACTCTCCTATACAATAATAAAATTACTTGAATTGATTAAAATATATTTATGATATCATTAAAAATTGCTAATTGAGTTCATGATTTATTAATAAAATAGGTCAATTGTTATGTAATTAGAAACTTAAAGAGACAAGATGTAATTTTTAAAATCACAGGGAACAATCCATCTTCTATGTAAATGTCAAGGGGTATATTTATAATTTATCCTATAATTTTTGAGTTTTTGTTTTTAAAAGAAAATGCAATAAATTTTATAAATTTTTATAGTTAGATGGGCACGTACAGAAACTCCAATGCTATTTTTTAATTTACATATTTATCCACACAAACTATTGAAAGAGCCTCCCAAAGCTCTCTATATGTAGCTAGCTTGAAATTTTTTTGTCAAAATGATTAATGTAGTAGCTAGTCCATTGGAAGAGGTAAAATAGGATGATGGTAGCTATAATAGCCAAGATGCCTCTTTTAAAAAGCCCGTTGTAGATGTTCTGAGGCCAATGGTCCATTCTTGAAACTTTCGGGCCAATAGGCCCAAACTAAAACCTTCTTGGGCCAAAAGGACATTATTTGACCAAAATGACACATGTCTGTTCAAATCTTAGCTATTTGTCTATCTGTTCAAAACGTCACCTATTTATACATGTGTCACGTATCTATCCAAATGTTCACATATTTGTACACGTATCACCTATCTATTCACCCATCTAACCAATGTCATCTATCAGTCTACTTCATTGCCACCAGCCACTGGCTACTTTTTCCTATCAATTTTTTAGAGACTTTTTCGGCGCCAACTATTTTTCAACACATGTCCTTATCACCAAAAAAGATTAAACCTTAGATTAAATAACATATGACCCAATAGGATTTGATTTTTCATCAATTAACTGTAGTTATGTTGACTACTTTTAATAAGATTAAAGAAAACAAAGCTAATATTTTTATTTTGTTGTCATAAATTTTGTATTCTAAATATTAAGTAACAAATACTTTTCGCTTTATTTTTTTGAGTCGATTTTAATTTTATCACAATCTTATTTATTTCATATTTACATTATCAATTTCGTTTGTTTAGTATTTGAAATATTTATGAAAATAACTAACAGTATAACATTGGCGTGATAAGAGTCTCTACACTCATAATCAATGGTTTTAAGTTGAATGTTTTAATACAGCCCACATCCATAAACTTTAATTGGTCAATAATAGGTTGGGTTCAGGCCCGCCCATCTTATATTTTTAAAACCCAAAACCTATTCATGTGCTTAAAAAAATGGGCCTATGGGTCTCAGGGCAGGCTTAGCTCATATGGGCCTAATTTGACATAACTTTCAGCTTTAATTCTGATTTTTTTTTTAAATTAAATTTCAAAGGTATTAAAAAATAAAGATTTGTAATACAAAATTTTGAAGTACATCAAAACAAATATAGTCACTTTTTCAATCATGAATTCTTTTTCTTTTTTAATTTTTTTTTATTGAAATACAAAATTACATCAGTTATGATTATGTTATTGAATTATGTGCATCTTTAATCTCATAGAAATTTAATTACTAGTTTCATATAGATGGCATGCTATTTTTTTTATTGTTAAAATTATTATTTACTAAAAATGCATATATTCACATAAGAAGGGAAAAAAAGAGAGATAAAAGTGAAAAAATAAACCAATTGTTTAGTGTATATGGGTCCAATGTGGGCTTTTGGAATGGTCCTATGGGTCAAGTTTTGGGCCAGGCCTCAAAACACCCATGAGGCCCAGAATTCCTATCCTTTAGTCCAAGCGTAACCCCAACCCATATGTTTTAGGGTTCAGTTGAGTCAGGCCAATGCTAGGCCGAAAATAATTGGAAGATTACCATAACCAAAAGTTTGAAATGGAAGCCTAGAGAAAGATCAAGAGAGTGTCATCATTTTATGAGGAGAGAGAGAGAGAGAGAGAGAGAGAGAGAGAGAATACTATTTAACAAACTTGATTATTATAAAATCATAGGAAAATAACAATCCACTTATTTATGCTATATTGCATCGTATTTATTTAAAGTTTAACAAATAATAGATTCATAGGTTCTCTAATCTTTCTTTCTCTAGTTGTCGGGCCACCAAAATTGAGCTTGAAGATAGTCTACCACCTTCTTGTCAACTTGGAATGCCTCAGCAAGAACATCATAAAAAATCCTTGGATTTGACTCGAACATCGCATTAGCAACAGTAATAGTTCTTGGATTTTGGCTACTTAGGGCAGCAAGAGCTACCTCATTAGTCTTTTTATTATTAAATTGAAAGTGAATAAGACCCTATGGGAACACAAAAACATCTCCTGGGTCAAGACCTTTATAAAGAGACGGTTGTCAGTGTTGGAGGTCACAAAACCGACGTAAAGAGTACATTCCAAGACCACAATGACCTTAGTTGCATGAGGGTGCGTGTGGGGTGGGTTGAGGCCATAAGGTGCAAAGTTAATGTGAGCTAAGGAAATGCTGAGAGTATTGAGACCTAATATTTGCATAATGTTTACGGGAGTGACCTTCGACCCAACTGGGTTTGATGTGTTTTGAGGAGTCAAGAGGCCAGAAAAGAAGAAGTCACCGGCTGTGGCAAGCTTTGGGTCGTTGTAGACTTTGCCATTCACGAACGCTGCCTGCAAAAGAAATAGAGTAGTGCTTCAATAAAGATTGGGTGAAAGAAAGAAAATGTTATTTAAGCTAATTAATTTTCAACAATGTTACTATAATGACATCTAAGAAATTAAAAATTGTTCCTTTACAAATTATAACAATTAAAATGTTGGAGACCAAAATGAAACATATCGTATATTTTGCGGACCAAAAGGGTAATTAACCTTTTTTAAGTTGATGTGTATTTTTTGTTCATAAAATGTTGTTTATTTTGATGATGAATATTGACGATGACAACGAGGGAGACTATCAAGCACTACCAAAAACCCCACTTTACTGGTTGCTAATCAGAAAGGAAGTAATACCTCATCTACGCGTGTTTTCGGTCTTTCACCCCGGACACTCAGGCCAACTTAACCAATATCATCTACACCTCCTATCCGAACTTACCAATAGATTTACCCCAAAACATTTCAATAAAAGCTCAATTATAAACTTTCCTTTCTCAATGCAAGTTTCCAAACTCAAATTAAATATATGATAACCAATTGAAGGGATAAGTAATGCAACAAAACCAATGCAACAATATTTATTTTCCCATGTTCACATATTTTAACAATAATCCCAAGAGGATAAAAAAATCCCCATTTCTCCTTTCCATGCCATTTCACAAAATAGCCACGTGTTCATTTAGTTCTATCAATAAACAACAACATTTCTTTATTTCCTACTTCTTTTAATATTTTAGCCTTCACAAGACTATATCAACATTGAGCAACAATTTACCACATTTGCAATCCTCATGCCCCATGAAAATCATCATTTTATACATAATAATAATAAAAGAGTTCTCATCCTTTACAAACCTTAGCCCACAAAATAGCATATTAACAATGTCAATCACATACATCTCTATATCTCTTGAAAGCCCCAAATCCTAGGTTTTTCGCCCAAACAATGTATTTCTTCATTTCTTGGTAAAATCTCATTAAAAACATCATTTTTATTTCAATGTGCTTCAACTATCCAAAAAGAATCTTCGAATGAAACAAAAGATGAATTTTTTTAACAAGCTACTAATTTCATGAGTCAAAAACCAAAACCTTTATAATATCTTTAAGAAAGGTTTGAAATCAACACCAATCTTGCATAAACAAGTACATATAACTCAAAGAAGTCCCTGGCTCAAGTTCTTGAAGAGAAAAGAAGATGAAACTGTAGACGTGCTCCCAGAGAACTCCTGAGGAAATCTCGTTTTGTTCTCTAGCATACTACAGTTCGGACTCAATATCATGGTTCTGAATCTAATCTTGCAAAGTGCGATGCAAGACCGATAAATCACCAAAGAGTCCAAATCCGACAAATCGTTTTGGAAAACTGATTTTTAAGAAAGAAGTGCCATACATGGACTGCTTTGCCAGATATAGAGTCGCCACCTAAATATTTTATTTTGGGGGAATTTAGGAAACCCTGACTCGTTGCCTAAGGCCACGTGTCCGCCATCACCAAAGTTGCCTCAGCTCGGGAACTTGGGTACGGTTGGGGAAGGTCATGCAATGAGCACCCCCGCTCGCCCGATCAAAGATCGGCCTATACTAAGCATGATATCTTGTTTTTGAAAACACATGCGTTCTTATTCCGGTTAATTAGCTAGTATTACTATGTGATGCGCACAACACACAAGTACAGACTATATCGCCTAATTTGGAACAAAGCATCGCATATCCGTTTGTTTGGAAATGGTTTGAAGTTTGCTACTCGCAAGTAGGCTAAAATGCGGATTTCGATGAATTGTTCTAATTCAAGTAATCTAACCTTCACCCACAGGCATTCAAGCAGTTATATCACATAAGCAATTAGCCTCATGGCAAGCATGCTGTCATGTTAACACTCACACACATGTAAGATGCTAAAGCATAAACACTTACAGTGTACTCCGAGCCAAAACAAAAACTAGTTAGTAATCAAATCAAATGAATGATCCTAGCTCATGTTAAGATGGCTAATGCAACACATGCAAAATGCAAATAGAAATAGGCCCGGCTATTCTAAAATGGCATGTGAGATGCAATACTTGATATATGTATTCAAATCGGAATTGAAATACGAGGCGATTAGTATGATGCACCGAGCCCGGTGCATGCAATACAGATGAATGGATGCAAACATGCAAGCATAAGGATATTAAATGAAATATGCCCTAAAACTAACCATCGTAAGCGGTTAAGTAAAACGGAGAAAGAAATGGAGGTTGGAAGACATGTATCACACACACGCACACTTATTACGCAATTGCGCCCTCTCGACGGAGGGACCGAAAGAATAATACAAATTAACTAATTAACTAATTAACTAACTAACAAGATAATTAATTATTACACAACTCTTAACTAATTAAACAAATTAATTAACCTATAAAAATAGTAAAGCGGCCTCGATAAGACGGACAAATGCATGCTCGATCGACTTCGCTCGGAAATCCGTTGCCATGCCACATGTTGCCTCTGTTTGCACTGCTCTGTACCTTTGAAAATTGTGCCAACTTCTGTGACACTTCCGAACCACCTTGTGGGCATGCTGTGAGGCCATCGGCCAAGGGAAATTGGTCATCAACCAAATGTAAGGCTCTCGGCCAGATGTTTGTTGCCGATCGGCACTGAACATAGTCGATCGACCATCTCTTCCTGTGAAAAGCTCCTGCTGCTGTAGCAGAGGACAAACAGAGCATGACAATACATTTACAAGATGATGTCTGCACAACTACACCCCTTATCATGTTTAAGACTCAAAGGTGTGTATTTCTCGACCCTCGGACCACCAATCACGCATTTCAATGCATGATGGCCAAAGGAGCCAAGTGTGCAATTCAATATCAAATGAAATGCACAAAAACACATAAGGGGCCCCAACCTCTATCATGCTTGATCAAGAGGCAAGGGAATGCACACACAATGCAATGCAACTTAAGCATGCAAGCAAGCTAATGCAACATGAGCATGCAAGCAAGCGATATGCAACCTAAGCATGCAAACATGCATGCATACAATGTAACAGGCATGCAACAACAATACCAATAACAAACATGCAACAACATGTAATCTAACAAGTATGCAAGATGGATGAGCATGCAACAAGCATGTACACATAATGTAATAGGACTAGCGTGCCACAACATGCAAGGGAACTGATATGCAACAACATATAATGTACCAAGTATGCAACAAGCATGTGACAACATGCGAGGTAAACATGCAACAACATGTGAAAGGATGGACTTAAACATGCCCAAATCAGTGGCCGAAATGCTATGGAAATGAAGACAAAGGTACATACAAACATACATGCCAATTGGCCTATCACCTAAGCATAGGAGAGAAACTTTCAAGAACACTTGAAAGGGGACAAATATGGATATGTGACATACATGGTAAGCTCTGAAATTATGTTAGGAAAGGTGCCAAACCAATCAAACAAAGCAAGCAAATCATGCAAGAAGACTCAAGGGTCAAGGCTACCCAAGGGGTTCAAACCATTGCTATGCAAAACAAGAAGCAAATGGCAAGTATAATCCAAAACAGTCCTAGATCATACCAAAATGAGCCTAAAACATGCAAGGACCAAAGCCAAAATAAGCTAGAACAAAGGGCCAAAAGCATGAGGCATGCAAGGCTACAAAAGAGGTGTTACACCACACCTATCAAAACCAAACATGGCATGATTTAAGCAATGGAAAATAGAGTTATGGCATGGTAAAGTAAGACCAAAACCCCACTTAGATTGCATCCCAAAGACCTAAACATCATGGCATACACAATGACCCATTCATGAGGCATAAAACATCAACTCTTTAAAGCATTAAAGGAGTGACAAGTGCAAGTGTTTGAGCATGAAACATGGACTGAAATAGTATAACAAATGATGCCAAATCATTGAAATGGTCCAAGTAAAGGATGCTAGTGACTTGGACACTTAAGGCTAACAAGCTAGAATGCCTTATGGCTATACAAAGCATGGCATATATGGTCAAAACAACTCAAATCAGAGCTTAAGCATGTTACAACAAGGTTAAAAGCTTCATGGAGTTGAGCCAAAATCATGCTAGAAACATGGCTTAAAGCATGATGCATGTTAAGGCGAATGAAAGGATTACAAGACAAGTATATGGTGCATGAAAGGAGCCATTAAACCAACCTTAGACAGAGGTAAAACATGGCAAAATGACACCAAATACTTGCTGAAATTGAGCTGAAACAAGCTAAGCAAACATACTACCAATATAAGCCATTTATATTAGCATACAAGACAGCAAGGAGAGGGGATGACCCTCTCCTATTTAAGACCTCAAAACCACCTTTCCACCACTGGAAATCCTCTGGATTTCAATGGTAGAAAGGTCATCCAAAGCTAAGAACAAGGGCCAAAAGAGATGGCCTAAAACAAGGCCTAACAAGGCCTTGGAAGGGGTAAACAACCCCAAACCAAGAAGAGACCTTAAACAAAGATCCAAACCATCAAAAATTAGAACTTTTATCAGTTAAGAGCTAAGCTTAAAACAATAAGAAAGAAGGGCTAAAAGCTTAAGCAAGAATGGGGTATTAAAAGCAAGAATGCTCACCCTTGTAGAACCTCTTCAAGAACAAAGCTCCAGCAGGTTTTCTAAGTTCAAACCAACCCAAGAACTCTAAAATCAACCTCAAGAGACCTCAGCTCCAAGAGGATGGTGTATTGCTAGGTGTTTGTGTGCAATAGTATGAACAAAACACCCTTTAGAGCATAAATGCACACAAATATGTAAAGAGAGAGAGATCTAGAGGTAGATAGATACAACTTCTCTAACCCTAATTTCCAGAACCTCTGAGAAGGGAGGAGGAGCTCCCTTCTTATAGAAATCGAATTCTAAGGCTTCCTAAGCAAGCTAAGCAAAGGTACAAATCCCTCCATACACGTGTATGGAGGGTGTGAATTGTGCATGCAGCTGGCATAAAAGATCTGCATAAAGTAGATGAATAGGGTTCAGTCAGAAAACATGGCCGATCGACCAACATATGTGCCAGCCGACCAAATAATGTGCCGATTGGCCAACACTTTTGGCCGATGGCAAAAAAACAAGGCCGATGGCCTCAAGCCTTGGTCGATGGGTTAAGGGATGGCAAACAAGCCACCCTCTTCCCTCAGAAGCAAAACACAAGTCCTTGGTCCACAACCATGCACAAAATAGACAAGTTGAGAGATCTTGAGGCAAGGCATGCGACCGAGGCCTCCGAGAACTCAAAACGAACACAAGCATGGATGGTCATCGAGTGTTCAAACAATGACGTCCAAGTCTTGAGGACGGTCAAAAATGGGGTGTCTACAGAAATCCTAGAATTTGATGGCGCCAAAACTCAATCTCCACCGTACACAATGTAGCTCTTGAGGAGCTCTTCAACTTTGATGAAGGAACTTGGGTTAGAAATGCAATAGATCCAAATGGATCAAAAATTCTAAGTGTTTTGGTGTATAGAATGTAGAGAGAAGGGAGAGGAAATGATTTTTAGAGAGAGAGAGATGGTTTAAAAGTGATACACACATAGCCCTAAAGAAAAAAAAAATAGAGGTTTCGGACTGCCCAGCATCTTGCACGTATGGCACGTGCCTCGTACGTGCGGAGCCTGCTTCCCGTACGTGCGGCCCTCCAATCCGCACTTCGCCCCATGCTTGCATATAATACAGTGTGAAAGGCTGAAAATGACACCTCCCCGCATGTGTGGCTTGATCTACCGCACGTGCGGTTCAAGGCCTCGTGCGTGCGGCCCTGGTCTTTC